AAATCGGGCAATAATAATCCATTAAAGCCATGAACCCCACATATCCCTGGGGTTCTCAGAAGCAGAAGTTGTCATTGTTGGGTAGACTTCTATAGTGATGAACGGAAACTAGTAGACATACAATCTTTGCATTCCTAATTGCTCCAATAGCAAAAAATAAAATAAAAATAAAAAAAATATTGAGATTGATTACGCTGGTCAGACGAGAGAAATACGTCAAATTTGCCATGACTCCCTCAGCCGTATTAAAAACACTCGTTTTCTGTTATAAATATAATATTTGTCATGAAAAGAAAACACTTTGTTAGATTTACGACGTTAAGAACTGTGCAAACGTTCTGTGACAGTCTGTGAAAAAGGTCCATTAGCCAAGAGAAGTTATGCTTTTCAGTGATTTTACCTTAGAGGTGTTAGCCAAAATGTGAAGCAAACCATGGTAAAATCACTGTAATGCACAGCCTTTGATGCCATTGCCACTGAAATGGGAAAAAATCTGTATGCATGTACAGCAGCCACTGTGAAGTCATCTTCATAATAAAACACATCAGAGAGACATTAAAACGATTTCAACCAAAGAGGACGTCTTGATTCCTGAAAAATTAGTTGCACTTTGGTACAACTAGGTAAATCTCCTATATACTGCAGCACTGGGAACCGGTAGGAAGCTGCGAGATGACAGCAGGACAGTCATTGTACATTTTTTTATCCTAATTTCAACCCACAGTGCAGTGAAAATAGCTCATTTAAGGGTGCAACAGCAACCAGGGAGGAAAATGAGCTCTTTCTATATGCGAGAGCCAGACATCTCCACAGCCCCACAGATGAATCTTCCAGTCTCACAGACTGCTGCTTCCTCCCACAACCACACTGCTGGGTCATGATGAATACTACAACATCCTGCTGCATACTTGGAGGTTGATTTCACTGCACAGTATACTTCATTGTGGAAAGCATTCCCTGAGGTCATGAACAGAAACTTTTAAAGAGACAGACTGATATTAAGGTTGACCACATTTTTTTCACCGATATTCACATTTTTGGTTCTTCAACATCGGGTTTCATCGCCATTTGGTGGGTCCTCGAAGAAGGCCACTCAACAACACAACCAAGAGTTCAACAGGAAACAGCAGTGCTCACAGGAAACACAACTTACTTTTTGTTTGCATAAATTACTCATCTTTTATGCGACAGCCATTCATTCTGACGTGAGACATGAGTACGATTTTAAAATGAACAGTGACATAGGCCAAATAAACATATAGGTAGGCACCCATTACAAAAATATTCATAATGCATTTTATGTCTTTATTGTTGTAGTCAAATGATTAAGCTATTTATTATTGTCATAAATATAAATAAAACAATGATTACAAATGATCTCATTGGAGATTTAAAAAAAAACAATCGTAATGGTTGTTAAAATATTTTAAATATCTCTAATATTTTAATTTAGCTAAGTGAAATCTGTAGTTCAGGGGAACATTGCTGGTATTGTAAAGAATTATAGCTTCCACAAATTATCGATAAACTGACAACTGACAGTTTATTCAAGATTTAGGTTTAAAAATGTTATATTAACACAATGATAAATTAGAGTACAACAATAAAAGCATAAGAATTATGGATATTTTAATAATAAAAAATAAAGAAAATATTTTGAATTAAAAAAAAGTCTACAATATCTCAGGTTACAAGTGGACAAAGCTCGAGGCAAAGATTTGGAACAAAATGTTGCCATTCATCAGTAGATCTAGGCTATATTAAAGGTGCAGTAAGCGATTTCTGAGAAACATATCCCAATATGTTATTGAGATATCCCAATATACACTCACCGGCCACTTTATTAGGTACCCCATGCTAGTAACGGGTTGGACCCCCTTTTGCCTTCAGAACTGCCTCAATTCTTCGTGGCATAGATTCAACAAGGTGCTGGAAGCATTCCTCAGGGAGTTTGGTCCATATTGACATGATGGCATCACACAGTTGCCGCAGATTTGTCGGCTGCACATCCATGATGCGAATCTCCCGTTCCACCACATCCCAAAGATGCTCTATTGGGTTGAGATCTGGTGACTGTGGAGGCCATTTTAGTACAGTGAACTCATTGTCATGTTCAAGAAACCAATTTGAAATGATTAGAGCTTTGTGACATGGTGGAAGTAGCCATCAGAGGATGGGTACATGGTGGCCATAAAGGGATGGACATGGTCAGAAACAATGCTCAGGTAGGCCGTGGCATTTAAACGATGCCCAATTGGCACTAAGGGGCCTAAAGTGTGCCAGGAAAACATCCCCCACACCATTACACCACCACCACCAGCCTGCACAGTGGTAACAAGGCATGATGGTTCCATGTTCTCATTCTGTTTACGCCAAATTCTGACTCTAACATCTGAATGTCTCAACAGAAATCGAGACTCATCAGACCAGGCAACATTTTTCCAGTCTTCAACTGTTCAATTTTGGTGAGCTCTTGCAAATTGTAGCCTCTTTTTCCTATTTGTAGTGGAGATGAGTGGTACCCGGTGGAGTCTTCTGCTGTTGTAGCCCATCCGCCTCAAGGTTGTGCGTGTTGTGGCTTCACAAATGCTTTGCTGCATACCTCGGTTGTAACGAGTGGTTATTTCAGTCACTGTTGCCCTTCTATCAGCTCGAACCAGTCTGGCCATTCTCCTCTGACCTCTGGCATCAACAAGGCATTTCCGCCCACAGAACTGCCGCTCACTGGATGTTTTTTCTTTTTCGGACCATTCTCTGTAAACCCTAGAGATGGTTGTGCGTGAAAATCCCAGTAGATTAGCAGTTTCTGAAATACTCAGACCAGCCCTTCTGGCACCAACAATCATGCCACGTTCAAAGTCACTCAAATCAACTTTCTTCCCCATACTGATGCTCGGTTTGAACTGCAGGAGATTGTCTTGAACATGTCTACATGCCTAAATGCACTGAGTTGCCGCCATGTGATTGGCTGCTTAGAAATTAAGTGTTAACGAGCAGTTGGACAGGTGTACCTAATAAAGTGGCCGGTGAGTGTATATATTGATATTGAAATCAATCAACCCAAACAAAGACGCCCCTCCCTTCATTGCTCCACTCCCAAAGTGCACAAACACGCAATGCAAGAGTGGATGTCTATTTATCTGAAGCGAAGCAAAATAATGCTACATGAAAAATAAAGCGAATATGGCGAACAAACAGCATACAAGCAAGAGTCGCTTGTTAGTTGCCAGCAGCTCCAGACAAATAATGACACAAAACTGTCCAGTTACTAGAGCTAACATTACAACAACAGCAGATCTTGGTCCTGTGAAACATAGCAAAACCAATGTTACTCACATGTGGAGCAGAAACTACACAACCTCTGCGTCTGTTTTCTAAAATCAATACAGCGTAGTATCATGATATTTTGCGTGGGGATACAGTCTCAATACACGGACGCCAAGTGTTGATCTTTCCATGGCCTGAATTTCAGCTCGAGATTACGAATACTGTCCATATCTTATCGTAAAAACCACGCTTATAGTGCGTGAAATGATAATAAATTGAAATCTTTCATTTAGATTAATTTCACAAACAGTACAGGTAAATCAGTGCTAACTGTGAACTGTGAGTAAAGGAAGCACGTTCTTGCATATTTCTGAACATGGACTCCTCGGAATAATAAATGTGTTAATTCAACATGCCATCACATCACATCTGCAAGCCAGCTGCCAGCTATTCTTTTTATATTCAAACTGTTTTGTGTTATTGTGTAGACTGTAGATTATTTCACAATGGAAAAAAACATAGTGCATAAGCTAGCATCCTATGTTTTTAAGTATCTGTTAATGGCAAATGTATGTAAATTTCCTAAAACCACGATAAAAATATGATTCAGCACATAATCACATGTCATAATTTAAATTGTGCTTTGTTGTTGCCATTGTTTTGTAAAAACAAACACACTGAATTTGAGTTTGCATACATTGAAATTGAAACATTATTGTTTAAAAGCTGTAATAAATATATAAATATATAAAAGAGAAAAAGGACTAAATATTGTACAAGGAAGGGATGAAGGAGATGGATATGAAGATGTGAAATGAACAGACTGAGAACTTATTAGCCTACATAAAAACAAACTTTTCCCCAATATTTCCTTTGGGGACATTTGCAATTGATTTTTTTGTTTAAAATAAATTGCAATATATTTTATTGCAATACTCAGCATCTCGCAACACATTTATAACGTTAATCACAATAAAATCGTATCGCGGCGCCTTACTATTGACAGTTTTTATGTAAAATCGATGCAGGTTCTGTCGCACGGTAACGTACATTTTCAAAAAATCGACATGTTTTTTTTAAAAAATCCCTGCTAAATTTAACTAGTTACAAGTAAATGGTCAAATAGTATGTCTGTGCCACATGCTGCAAACATTTCAAATACAATATGAGATTAAACACTTGCATACTAGGATTAATGTGACTAAAGCAACATGATTTCTTAAAACCCACATCTTGGATTTGGCGTAACTGGCTACATAAAAACACACTTTAAATGTGCGCGTTTAGTAAATTATAACACGAAATTTGTCAATAAGCCATATCTTTCGTGGAACCAATCGCCAAGTATTTATTAAAAGCCCTAGATCCGTGTGCATGTAGCTACGTGTATTCGCTTTAAAAAGCAAATTAAGGTTAGCCTACTCGCAACGCAACTTAGAGAACGTAAACAATGAACGCATAATAATTGTAATTGTTGCGTTCGCGCTCCATAGAAGGATTCATTATGACGCTGTCCAGCCCGCTAAAGAACGCAACGCTACAAAAACGCCAGTTTCGGTCACATATTCGCCATAAAGCAAAAACATCATTTATTAACTTACAATTAAACACACTAGAGGGCATTTAAATGGAATTGCACATGTAAAGATTGAACACCACAATGACTTACAGCAATAGCTGTTAGCCAGCTAGCCAGTTTCAGATGAAACTGTACGATGTCGCAAATTCCTTACCTGTTAAACGCAACTTGACGGGTCCATTTCTTCTAACTCCTTGATTAGACATGTCCTTGTCCCTTATCCAGGATGACTATTACTGAAAACGAGTCGAATGTGCTATTGAGTTGCTTTTTGGTTCCTCTCAAAACCAGTTTCACAGTGAACAGAAAATAATGGAGTCACGGTCCTGTGGCCCGGATGTGCACAGCCCTGCCATGTCTACATGCATATACACTCGGCTTTAACGTGCTGCTCGTATTTCTACCCTCTGCGAAAGTAACTCCACGACGTTCCCTAAAAAGATCCGCTTACAGAGACCTCCTGAAGTTCTCCGCATTTTCCACGAACGGAACCGCACTCGGGTTCTTCTGCTGCCCTTCCAAGGAGACCTTGAGGGAAAAGTTGTATCGCTAGTATTCGCTACAGGCGACTGAATAGAGGAAATGTGGTTTGTTATGTGTCTGGCATCTGCTCAGCCACTAAAACCGCCCAAAAGGTGACATCAGACCCACTTGTTATTCATAGAGCTCTGTAATCCACACTTATAGATAACATGTGGCCTTTAGAATCACTCATTTTCCCACCATTATTTATATTTATTTTAAGTCTTGGATAAAGATACACAAACACACCTTTGTTCTTTGACTTTTTTTATTTACAACAAATAAAATTGAAACAGATTAGTATGTACAACTCAGACCATGAGGTCATCACAAAGACTAACATGAACAAGACAAGTGGTGTGAAGAAATGATCAAGACAATCATACACAAAACAAACAGATATTTAGAAGTTGAAAGTGCTTTGGTTGTCATTGATCTGGAATGCATAGCCGTCAGTTGTAGCTTCAGGGGCGACGCATTCATCCTCTTCCTCCTGCAAGATGGAAATAAATATGCATTTAGGAAAAGCAGATTCTTAAGCATAAGAAAGCAGGTTATTAAGTATAAGTGTGTATCACTTTCAAAACATTTTAAGAGGGTTGAGATGCTCATTTTTGCCAATTATTATAACAAGCAAACTATTAATACACAAATTGAGCAAACCTACACAAATAATGAATCACTAAAGATTTTGAAAGTTCACATTCAACCAACCTCTCCAGAGAAGTACTTTTCAATAAGGTTGAGGGAGGCCTTATAGACCATTTCATTTTCATGGGACTGCAAAGCTTCGATTTTGTCCAGGCCGCCACATTCCTCCATCATCAGGGACAGCTTATCAACCTCACCAATCTTCTCACCCGCCTTAAAAAAAAAGATCAGAAAAAAATTCCCATCAAATAAGAGGCAGGTTTGACACTGATTGTATAAAATCCCATATTGTGATGAACATTCAAGTGAAACATTCTCAAAAAAAAAGAATCTACTGGAAGCAATGAACGGGAGCAAGATTAGCAGATTAAAATGATTGAAGTCCTAAATACAAATCACTAAAGAGAAGTCATTTAAGCATTACAAGGTAGAAAAAAAGAAAGATGAAATTCATTCCATGCTGGCTTTAAAGAAATCATACCAAAAAGATATTGGTGATCGCATCCAAGATGACAAGAATAGTTTTGCTGTCCTTCGTGGAGAGCAGGTTCAACAAGGGCTCTAGTATATTGGCCTGAACAAGGTAAACCACTTGCTCTACTGTGCCTCCGCTGGTGTAGTTGGTCACTGCCCATACAGCCTCTTTCTGGGTCTTGTAGTCCCCCTGCATAAAGTATGAGAAAATTGTTAAAAATAAATAAAAAGACAGCTTCATGGACAAGTCTTATATTGTGTATACTGTGGCAACATACCCGTCTGAGAACTTCCACCAGGTAAGGTACAATGCCAGCATTGATGACCTCCTGAATCTGATAGTCCCTGCCAGCCGTGATGTTGGACAAGGTCCAGGAAGCCTCCTTTTGAACGTTGTTTTTGTGGTGGCGCAACAGAGCAGGGAACATGGAAAGAGCACCAGAGTTGATCACTGCTTGGGTCTGTTCATCTGTGCCAGTGACGATGTTACCGATGGAACGGAGTGAAGGGGTCTGTGGGAAGAAAAATAAAAATACATATATACACACTCCTATAACTTCCCTGTACGAGCATTACTTTCCACCAACTTACCACAATGGAAAGTTCTCCTGATCCCAGTAGCTTCACGAGTTGAGGGACCACGCCAGTCTGCACCACCACCTCAATCCTTTCATTGGGCCCATCAGTGAGGTATGAGATGGCCCAGCAGGTGTCCGCCAGAACCTCTTTATCATCATGATGCAGAAGGCGGATAAGTGTTGGCAGTATCTGTTTCACGGCCTCTAGAGGTGGTGCAGGGTTCTTATTGCGGCACAGGTTTGACAGGGTCCAGGTGACGTTCCTCAGGTAACCAGACTGCAGAAGTAGACAGACTGGTTAGTCAGGCCAAAATATTAAAGTTTCAATGCCACCTACTGGTAAAGTATGGTCACTACATTTTAAATAGCAGTTTAAACCCACTAAACCCAAAACAACAGAAGAAAAAGAAAATAAAGTTACATAAATGTTTTTTTATATATATATATATATATATATATATATATATATATATATATATATATATATATATATATATATATATATATATATATATATATATATATATATATATATATATATATATATATATATATATATACACATACACACACACACACACATGTATGGCAAGCCGTTTTAACTTTTATTCATTTCCAGGATATGAATTGTTGATATCAACAATTACATTTTCACTAGTTAAAATTATAATTATTGATATCAGGAATAATATTTCTACTAGTAACAATGGCAATTTTTGATATCAGGAATTACATTTTCACTAGTAACAATGCTAATTCTTGATATCAACATTTACATTTTCACTAGTAAAAATTATAATTCTTGATATCAACAATTGAATTTTCACTAGTGAAATGTCACCATAGGCTGCCATTCAAAATCAATTCTTGATATCAAGAATTTATTTCTTACTAGTTGAAATTCCAATTTCACATATCAGAAAAACAATTCTTACTAGTAAAAACCTTTATTTTTGATATCAAGAATTGAATTGCTACTAGTAACAATGTTCATTTTTTATATCAATAATTCAATTTTCACTAGTGACAATGTTAATTTCTGATATCATGAATGTGATTGTTACTAGTAAGAAAGCCATTTTAGATATCTGAAATAATATTGATATCAGAAATACATTTCCAGATATCAAAAATGAAAGTTTTTACTAGTAGCAATTCAGTTGTTGATATCAAGAATAGACATATAGACTAGTGACAATTTAATTATTGATATCAGGAATTCACATTTTTACTAGTAACAATGTAATTATTGATATCAAAAATTATATTTCTACTAGTAAGAAATCAATTCTTGATATCAACAATTGATTTTGAATGGCAGCCTATGGTGACATTTCACTAGTGAAAATACAATTGTAGATATCAAGAATTACATTTTTGATATCAATAATTCAATTGTTGATATCAAGAATTGAATTGTTGATATCAAGAATTGAATTGTTGATATCAAAAATGTAATTGTTGATATCAAAAAATGTAATTGTTCATATCAAAAATGTAATTGTTGATATCAACAATTCATATCCTGGAAATGAATAAAAGTTAAAACGGCTTGCCATACACACGTTAAATTTAGTATATTCTATAAAGAATCATCATGAGCTGATAGTCAAGTTGAGCCATGACATTCAATCGGTGGTTCACAAATCATTTCACGTTATTCACACACACAATATATATATATAAATTTTGTATTCATGTTGCCCATTTTTAATTGTGACTACCCAGTTGAGAATCACTTTAAAAATATTTTAAATATCTTTAAAATTACAGATTTTTTTTAAAAACAAACTTACAGGGAATACAGAGAAGTCAGGAACAGCCAGCAGAGCTAATAGGGGGGCAATCGCACCATGCTTAATGACTTTATCTCTATACGCAGAGCCATCACCTATAAACACAAAAAGGGCAAAAACAAATTCAACCTCATACAACCAAGTTGGCTAAATTAATGAATCTCATTTAAATGAAATGCTAATGGCCACCCACCAGCTATGTTTCCAAGGGCCCACACCGCCTGCTCGCTAATATGAGCATGTGGTGAAGAAATAAGGCCGATGAATGCTGGGACGGCCCCTCCCTGAACCACAGCGCTGGTCTGGTCAGATGTTCCAGATGCAATGTTAGTCAGAGCCCAGGCTGCCTCAAACTGTATAGGAGGAGAGTCTGCCAGGCTCAAGAAGTTCACAAACTTGGGAATCAGACCAGCGCTGATGATACGGTCAATAGGTGGATGTCTCTCTCTTGACAGCAACTTCCTACATTTCAATAGCACAAGTCATAATATGAAAAAACACTTGATATAAACGCATTTTTGCACATGAAAATACTATCTTTTAGGCATTACCTGGCAGCTTGGGTGGCCTGGACTTGAGTCTCCAAGTTATTACTGTTCACACCATTTACAATCTCCTCCACAGTCCAGTGCGGAGCCTGATTGATAAGGACAAATATCTTGACGATCTCTACACGATGTGTAATACCAAAACATGAATTATGCAATAAGATATATCATCTACCTACCTGAGAGTTCTGGCTTTTCTCTTGAAGGGGAGAGGTGGCCTCATCCGGTAGAATGCTCACGTTTCTCCTTTTCAAAATCTGATCGTCTTTCTTTGCTTTACGAAGTTCAACATTGACTTCGATCCTTCGACGTCTCAGCTCCTACATACAAGTATTTGACATTTATATTACACATAATTGTGGCACATTTGAAAGAAAACAATTGATATCAGCAATTTTTTGTTGTAGCAGCATATTTATTACTTACAGTTGCATCTTTTCCTTTGTTCTTGAACTGAGTAAGTCGTGCAGTGTTCTCGCTTGCAGCAGACATTTTAATGACGTTTGATTAATCACAGTAACGTTATATCGCAACCTGAAATTAAAAAATATGTTCGTGTTAAGATCAACATAAGGTGCATCACAATTCAGAAATCAGATATTTTTACTTACTAAAACTAGAAGAACTACATTATAAACCAATTTTTTTAAAGAAGGAACTTACCGCTTCTAACCAAAGGACTGTGAAGGTGGAAGTATGAAACAGACCTTTAAACACGCGCTATGGAGAATCTGATTGGTCCGTTCGAGCAAAAGCACTTTCCCATTGGACCGTTTTGAAAAATCACACTGCTGGCGTGGGGAGTGGCTTATGTATTAACGCGAGATCTGGCGAGAATGCCAAATAGATTGCTGGGAACTGGGAATAATTTACCTTTAAAAATAAATTACATTCAAATTACCAGATTATATATTTTCAGATTATAAATATATATTTACATATGACTTTGACATCTGATTGTTTTATTGATTTGATGATCTCACTTAAGGTTCTCTATAAACATTTATATAATGTT